TTCGTGACTAGTGTTTGTCGGTTGTTAAGCGTTAGTGGCTGAGCTGGCAAGGCGTAAGATTCCAATTCTCGAGGTCGCAGACTCGATTTCGATACGAAGTGAAGTTTTATGAATTCGAGGTTTTTTTCTGTTTTTTCTTATTTCACTTTTTTGAGTTTTTATTGTGTTCATGCTAGTGTTTGCTAGGCTCAGCTTCTTCCTCTGTGTGATTACTATTACTATCGAGTATGTTCACGTTCATTTCCCTTATGAAAAGCAAGGTTAAACTCCACTATCGAACAGCAAAAGTGTAAAGGTCACAAAAATATGATCGACTTTCAAATTCGGAGTGGATTTTGTTTTTCAGATTTCCACCGAAGTAAAACAAATACCTATTGACCCAGTCTTTTCATATTGGGTTAAATATCAAAATATGGTCAATCATCAATCAAACAGCTTTAAGGTCATCTATTTTTTCTACGAAAATTGATATTTTTTCAAAAAAAAAAACAAGTCACTGTTTTTTCTGTTTACTAACGTTAATTGACTTTTTCTAACTGTCATCTGTTGGCCATGTTTTATTAGGTGGTCGGAAAATTTTGTGCTACTTCCTTAGCAATCAGCTATCCTTCTTTTTTTTTGGTTTAGCTGATGTCTTCGAACCTGCTCAAAGTATTTGACCTCACGTACCCGCACACCTCTTTCTTCAGTGGGAAGATCTTCACCACCAAATACGCGCAGTATTCCATGAACTCCAAATTGAGGTAATCATCACCTGTTCTACAGGTAGTCTGAATTTTTCGATCATGCGCTTATGAAATAGATAACTAGCAGTAGACGTCTCATCTAGGAAACAGACAGGCCAGTAATCTGATAAACTTTCATACTGCAAATTAACAAGCGATTTTGTAAAGTTATAAGTAGATTGGATAATTTCAAGATAGTTCATGTCCCAAAAGTTAACCCAACATGAAATATGTCTCTTAAAATATCAAGACTTTCAACAATTAGAGCTGATTATAAAAACTGACATCCCTCCGCAATAAAAAACGTTAATGACAAGGTGCTCGAGCTTGTGGAAGGTTAAATGACTTATGAAGAGGCCGTCACAGCGTTGTATTTAGGATCTGTGGATTCCCTACTTTTGTGTGACCACCGACATATCAATGTCCTGTATCCGGATTCATTCGACAGGTAAATTGCACTAGTTTTAAAACAGCTGGTGATCACTTGAACGAATCTGCCATAGGTCAGCATAAGACGAGGCAATCTTGCTGATAGTTTGAAAAAAATGTCTTGAAATAAATTGTCCAGAGACCTGGTTGTATGTTTTGCTTTAAAGCCCTTACAATTCCTGAATAGTAGTTGGTTTCAACAATCTATCTTGAGATTTTTTGTTTTAAATGTAAATTCAAGAGCGTTATTGAATCAAAATTAAAAATTCACTTATAAATAGCAATGTGTTTTCAAAAAAGATAGCCCAACTGATTTTATTTATTTTTCGCTTGCCTGTCTCCTTGGTAACAGGGGACATCTGGCGCTACGTGAGGTCAAGTATGTCTCTGTCCGGCTACTTGCCCCCTCTCTGTGACCCCTCGGATGGCCACCTCCTCCTAGATGGGGGTTATGTCAATAACTTACCAGGTGACCCCACTATAGACAATAAACAAAGATTATCACTTCTAGGAAGCACCCTTTGGTCATGAAATGAACCCAACCTTGTTTGAAGTTCTCCCCAGTCTTCTCTCCGGGGTCTATTCTCATGGCTGAAAGACAAAATGGCAGAAGACAGCCAAATAATTGGCATGCTTTAGGCTGTGCTGAGCTCTAACTGAACTTTCACATTTTGTTTCACATTGTTGAAGAGTGATTTCTGATTGGCTGATAAAACTTTCTGTCATTCGGCCCTTCTGCCATGAGGGAATCACCCTTCGGGTACAATTAAAACAAGGCAGTTCACTTATAAGCATAGCACCCTTGGTCACTACATGAACTTTATCTTACCGGAAGTTAATCCATTTGTTCTGTCCCTCGAAAGAGTAAAACCAAGCAAAAGTTCCTGCTGTCTGAATAATGAGTTCCTTGGACTACAAAAATGAGAACACGTGAGGCGACAAATCGTAACAGGCAACAATTCGTAACAAGCGACAATATATAACAGTAGATTTAGCAGGGAACACAGATCCACCCACAGTATTCTTATCGTCTCAGATGTAAGCGCAGCGTATTCTATTTGCCAATGACTATTACGATTTTTCGCTTGTTACGAAATGTCACCCTACCGAAGTTTGAGTAAAATTTAATACTTTTGCTTGATTCCTGAAGTCTTTTCTATTCATTTTATCTTAACTTTATCTGTTTTCAAAATTGCATGTTTTTTTTATATCTCGACCGTATTCCAGATCCTAAGTCAGAGTTTTGCAGATGAATCTTCTATTTTCATTAATCACAGGACGGCTTAGATACATATAGCGCCTATTTTTTTCATATCAATTTTTGTCATCTCAAAGATTTTGTTCAAAATTGTGCAGACAGTTTTGTGCTACTCTAAAAAAAATTTACAAAGCCAATTTTTCCGCTCGCAAAAAAATTGGAAATTGGGAGCTCGAGTTCAATATAATCAATTACAAAAAGATCGTTTGGGCGTAAAGTCAAAAACGCAATTGATCTACTTCGGTAAATTTTGGCGACCACCCTCTTAGCACTAGCACGTTTTGATTAGCAAGTCATTTGCTATTTAAAAATGGGAAATTTGAAGAGCGCGCACTTGGCTGAAGTTTAAAAATAAGTATTGTCAACCTTTTACAAATCAAGTAGTGTTTTAAAATGCAATAAACACAGCCTAATTTTAGCCTGCAAATATGCACACCTGCTTCGGTTTTTTGAAGTTCCAATTTTCTCCTTTTTCAAAGCAACTTGTATTCTTTAAACTACCGAAATTTAGTGAGCGTAGTGTAATAGTACGACCATTGTTTTTTCTAATCTAAGTCGCAAATATTGGTGCCACTTTTGAATAGTAAAACGTTAACGCAGTTGATGCATTTTTAATTGGAAAAAAGCTGTTTGTTTGAAACAACATAGCAATAATAAAACCTCGATTTCAGAAATTTTCTAACTCAATGTATCTCGCAATTTTTTGAAATGCGTAGTTTATACATTAATGTGGTTTTATGCTTTCCAGTTTATTACATACAAAAGTAGTGAGGGTGCCTTCAGTTTGTTATATTCCAATTTGTTACTTGTGTCAAAATTGTGTCTATTTGTATTTGGTGCCACTTTTGCTGCATTGCATTGGCAATTTAGGCTACCTAGCGGTAATTAGACAACCGCTAATTCATACTCGTCAGTAAGCAGACAAATACTATATTAACCAATCAGAATCGAGTCGAGGGATAAGTTTATGAATATTAATTTCGAAAGTTTGCTTCTTCATCTCGATTCTGATTGGTTTATATGGCATTTGTCTGCTTACTGACGAGTATGAATACGCGGTTGTCTAAATACAGACCGCACTCCGCAATTTTTCAGCATATGTAGCAGCTTTATTTGTGAATTATGTTTGCCGATTGTTCAGCGTTCGTGGCTGAGAGGGCAGGGCATGAGACTCTAGATCTCGAGGTCGCAGGTTTGAATCCGATACGAAGTAAAGTTTTTTTTTAATTCGACGTTCATTTCAGCTTATTGATTTCACTTTTTAAGCTGCCTTTTTGCCGTGTTCTCGCTAGTTTTTGCTAGGCGCTAGTGTTTGTCGTGTATTAAATTAGCTGTCCAGATTTTTTCAATGGTTTGTTGTTCTTTTAGCACATTTATGCGAAGTGCAGTGTTGCTCATGTGTCAAATTATTTATTCTAATTAAATGTTTTAGAATAGCTTAACAGTGCATAGTGACAGAATAGTTAAATTATTATCTAAATAGGTGCACCTGAAAATAACTGTAGCAGCACCTGCACTGGCGTGTGTTTGTTGTGTTGTTCTAGGGTCTGTTTGGAACTACGTGCGTGCTTCCATGTCCAACAACCCCTTCCTCCCACCCTTCGTAGACCACAAAGACAACCACCTGCTAGTTGACGGATGCTATGTCAACAATGTACCCGGTTTGTCTCCGTCGGGGCCACCAACACTCACATACTATTCTGACATCGCTAATTTGCAATTTTGATTATCCAAATAGTTTATCAGAGCCTTTATGACATTTTCCCTCTCCACTCTTCAAAAGTTCACGTTTTTGTTAAGTTGCGTGTGGAAGTCAAATGTTTGGATTTAGGAGGGGGTTGATAATTTTTCGAGATCTGTGGGAACCCTAGAGTACTCAATATCTTTTTGTCGGCGCTGAACCACAATCAGTATATAATGGAGCTTAAGATGCCATAAGAACAAGTTCAAGTCCGTTGGCTCATAGTCAATGTGGTAAAATGCAAAGAGAAAATCCTGGGGGAAAATATGGCAATGTTAAATGAGCGCCTACCCCTAACTAAGCTTCCCGCAACTCCTAGTTGTTTTTTAACAGTAATGAATGTAGTGAGTACTCTGATATAGATCTTGGTGATTTTTTTTTTCAGGAAAACGTTTAAAATTTGTTCGCGCTCAATTTTGGGTTTTCGCGGTTTGACTTTTGATTTTTTTCAGTTCACTTCATTTCTTTTGTTTAAAGGAAGGCAATTTCTACTATCGAACATTAAAAATGTAAAGGTCACGAAAAACGTGATCGACTTCTAATTTTGATAATGGAAATTAATTATCAGATTTGCCAGCCAAATAAAAATTTTATCTATTGATTCAGTTTTCTCAAAGTTGGTTAATTTTATTATAAAAAAGTTTAAATAATAATTTTTTTCTAGAAATTCATATAGCTTGAAGCCCATCTAATTTTTTTTTTGTAAATTAGACAGTTGAAAATTTTTCAAAAAACAATTCAGTTTTTTTTTCTGTTTCCTCGCGTTTTTTACTCTTTTGCAACTGTCAGTTGGCTATGTTTTGATGTTCCTGGCTGAATATGGTGAACTTATCATGCAGATGGAATTTGAAGACTGACTGATTAGTGATGTCAGAAATCGGCAAGAATCTTACTTCTGTTCTGGGAATCTGGGATATATTGTAGATTTAGCTTCTCAAATCAACTGATAGACTAGATCATCTCATTTCACGTCGTTGCCTGTTGCTGTGTTTCTTGAATGTTGTTTATGACTGATGCAAATGTTTGAGTTTATTAGAATCGTTTCACTGATCTAATCTTCGTGTAGATTGAATCATTGCCTGCGCTGTGGCTAAAAAAGTCCCATGTAGATTTTGAGGAAAGTTCTTTGCACCTAAATAAACCAAGCTTTCGGAGAATGAAGTTTGAATGCAGAGCCTTCTTGATTAACTGACGCGGAACGATCAAATCGGCGGTAAGAATGTTTTCTGTGGTTTCTTTTTATTCGTTTTCGTGAAGTGCTGCTTCACTTGTATATTTACATCAAGTCATGAAAAATGGTACTTATTGGGTTCGTCAATGTTTTTCAATCCAATAATTATTGGATGAACATTGTTGCTAATGAATGATGTGAATTTGCCTTTATTTAGGTTGTATTTTTTGTTTTTAGGAGAATTTTCGAAATTTGTTCACGCAATTAACAGTTTGACATCAGCGCTTTTTAAATAATTTTTTTTAAAATAGGACAATAACGCTCTCACACAATGATAAATAATTAAAACTTTCGCCCGATAAATTTCGCCTTTTTCAATGCATAGTTTCTTGATTTTTTTATTGCGAGAGTTGAATTTTGCGCACATCAATTCAGCATGAGCCTATCGTTCTTTTTGTTTTATTGAATGGAAAATGTATTTTTCATGGCGAATGACAAGAGTACAATGAACTTAATATGCAACTATGAGAGACAGAAAAGCAAAAAAAAAAGCAGAAGCAATGTAACCAATTAGAAAAAATTGCTAGCCGAATATTGAAGCACCCTTTATTGCAACAGTTAGGCCGGGTCTTTTCGGTTATACCTCTCCCCTAAATGATAAAAATTGAAAATGAAAGTTTTTTGATACAAAATTGGACTGATTTTACTTAAAAATGCAGGGCTGATAACCCGAACGGTAAATCAAGCTAAAAAAAATGCAAAAAGTGCGAATTAAACGACAATGGCATTTGGCATCTTGTTTATAAAATATAAGTGCAGAAAACGACAAAAAAAGGAGAAAAGCTAGTTTGCGGTGAAATAAGTTTAAAATGCTATGATTTTACTAATCCCATAATAATATTTTGCATTTTCTAGTAATTGTGGGCCAATTTTGTTGAAAACATTTCTTCTTTAAATTTTCATCATTTAGGGGGTATAACCGAAAAAGCCCATTAGTCCTTTTCACGTTCGATTTGAGGCTAATCAAATTGTGAATCAATTTTTCGTTTACCACCTAAATTGTTCAATTACCCTTCAAAATGCTTTCATTTTATTTGTTTTGTTCGTTGTTAAGTTCACTGTTATTAACCTTTTCATTTTATTTGAACTAATTATGATTTTGCAACGGAGCTTCGAACAGATGATGATGTTTTAAGCTATTAAGCAGCAAGTCGGGTTTCAATTCATTTAACCAGTTTTTTTTCAAGTGAATTTTAATTGACAGATTGTGTAGTAAATCCCGTTTTCTTAATTTGGGTTATTGATTCGATCATTTGAAAAATGGAGGAATTTTCTTTGTATTCGGGAGTGTTTTAGTTTTTTTCTTTGTTTTCCACGCAAAACCAGGTACCACAAATAATCATTGGAATGGGTTTAGTGATATTCCCAGTGTCGAGAAAAACCGGTTTGAAATTTCTGATTTTTCGACTATTTTCGAGCGAATAAACGATCGAGTAACGTTCGTTTTATGTAAATATTGGCCCTTCAGGCTAAAAAAACCTTGGTTTTACTGAAAAAAAAAACTGTTTTGGAAGCTTCATTAAGCGCTTTCTGGCCTTGAAAGTTTTCATAAAGTTAAAAATTTTAATGCTAAAAATTAGGAAATTAGGAAGTTTTTTTCCCTTTTTTCGTTTATTTATTTTTTGGAAGACAATTGCAGCAGTGTTTTATGCCTGGTTCACTATTTTTCTACGCGCTTTTATAATTCTCTAATCACACCACGCAGAAGAAACTACGCTGAAGGTAACAAAAGTTTTTTTTTCCGTAGTTTTTTACGAATGTGGTCGGAACATTCTGTGCTACTTGCACAGCAGCCGGCTATCCTTGTTTGGCTTTAAAAAAGTGTCATAAAAGATGTTAGAAATTGAAAATTATTTAAAATGATGTTTTTTTAGTATGTCTATTTGCTATACTTCACACTTTTGGCTGTTTTCTATCACCTTTTTGAAGGTTATTAGCCAAGCAAAGCAAGGGTTTCAGCCTAGTATTTTAAGAACTTGCATGCCTGGTAATTATTACTCAAATATGTGTGAATTTCTACTAATAATTAGCTCTTTGTGAATGAGTGGACTGTGTAAGTGCTTGCCCATGACGAAGCATCTTATGGGTTCAAATCCGGGAGTCACAAGGTGTTTTGCATTTCTTTCTCCAGTTTATTTTCGGTTTCATGAATTTTTTTTTGCTGTGTTGGCGAAGCGCATCTTCCATATGTGCAATACTAAGGAATTGTAGTTCGATTAGATTGTGACTATCTGGAATACGGACGAGCTACCACCGTTTATTTGGTGATGTCATCTTTTATAACCAATCGGTCATTTGTTTGTTACCAATTCTTTCCAATCAATCCAACAAAATTGAGTTTTATGTTACTGCTGTTTGTTTTCACTTTGTGCACTTTTTACTAATTTTGTTTGTATAATCATAATATTAATTAATCTGCTTTTGATCATGACCTGCTTCATCATTGCACAACTGACTTCTCGCTTTTAGTCTTGTAAATAATCTTTGCTTTCAATATCGATGATAATATTCAAAAATGCCGATAGAGCACCTGCCGATTTTTTAACATTTTTTTTGTCAAATGCATTGAAACTGTATCCCTTGATAGATTATTTCTGGATCGGCATTTGCTTTTACCGTGTAGATTTTGTGTAACTTTTTGATTTCATTGCAATTTTGTTGTTTTGTTCCTGTTCAGCGGACATAATGAAGGAGCTGTGGAATCCCAGAAGAGTGATTGCTGTTGATGTGGGTAGTCAGGACAGTCAGAATCTGACCAACTACGGGGACTACTTGAGTGGGTGGTGGGTGTTGGCAAACAAGTGGAATCCCTTTCCCTCCAAAAACCCACCCATCAGGGTAAGGTCATCCATCCACACCCTCCAGGGTGCTTGTTGCTTAAGGGTGCGGAGGCAAGATTATGCAGCCCGTAAAAATAGCCTTAAAGGAGGTGTTAATCAGCAGTGCAACAACAAATCTCCATAAAGTTGTATGTTTTTTCCTCATGGATGAGTATAGTGCTGTTAATCTGGAGTAATCATAACTTGAGTAATCTCTAGTATTTGAGAATTAAGCATTTGGAATTAACCTTAGACCAAGCATTTCCAATCGAAATTAAATATTGCGGGGGAAGATCGTATATTGTATATTGTTCTATTTTAAGGGGGAGGGGGGTTAACTTGATGCAGGAAATCTTCCTCTTACCCTGGCTGAGTGTTGCTCTCATTCTGTCATCTATGTGAACAATGTGTTGTGTGTATGCGTATGCGTTTGTCTGTAGGTACCTGGCATGGAGGAGATCCAGTCTCGACTGGCCTACGTGCTGTGCAAGAAACAGCTGGAGGAGGTGAAGAATTCGCCCTACTGCGACTACGTCAGACCACCCATAGACAAGTAACTTCATTATCCAGTCTCCTCGAGACCATTTTGGATCTCTTAGACTGTTTCCTCCTCTGTGGCATCTATGGTAACCAAAATATAGCTTTTGTTGGTCCAATTTTTTGCTGAAATTTCCTATGTCTTCACTTTTGTTAGGGGTTTTTGCTTGAGTTGCACGTGAAGTTGTTTCTAACATAAACATTGTGCTGAAATCTTGAAGCTACCGTCATTTATTACGCACCTCTTTCGCTTCGATGATTTAGGTGGCATGATTGCCGCAAAATGTGCCACTGAAATCAAAGAGGTGTGAATCATGAAAGGTGCAAAACTCTTTCCAGACTGTGCTGAAAACGAACAAGAACTGCTTGTCTATTTTTTGTGATTTTTTTCAACAACCCACGCTTGTTTTTGTTCTAGATACAAGACTCTAAGTTTTGGTCTGTTCGATGAGATCTACCAGTTGGGCTATGACCATGCAGCTGCCCTGTTCCAGCAGTGGGTGAAGGGTAACTACCTGTCGAAACTCCTGGACACTGCCAGTGACTCCGATGATCTAATCATGTCTGCGTCCAGTCCCTACCGCACTAGAGCCAGCAACTCATACAAGCACAAATACTCCATGGTACGTGTGCTTAAGCTACAATTTGCTTTGATGTACCTAACTCTCTTATCAATCATTTCGATATTTTTCTGGAGCACCGAATATTCATCATTCATTTCAATTGCAAAATTTTTGCGTTAGCTTAGCATTCTGAAGTCTAAACTCTGTATTTTTATCCTCTATTAGTAAATCCTAAGTACACTTGCTAGGCGAGTGTATTAGTACGAACCTTCTTTTCGTCATTCATCTCGTCGAATATTCGTCATTCATTTCAATTGCAAAGTTTGTGCGTTAGCTTAGTATTCTGAGGTCTAAACTCTGTAATTTATCCTCTATTAGTACATCTTAAGTACACTTGCTAGGCGAGTGTATTAGTACGAACCTTCTTTATTTCCTAAGTCGCAAATAAGTGCTACTTTTGGTGCCACTTTTGAATCGGTAGGCTGCGGTAGCAGTATAATTTCATATCTGCTCTAACATTTGATAAGTAAAAAGCTAACACAGTTGATGCATTTTTAATTCATCAAATGAACCGAAAACAGTTAATTGTTTCAAACAGCAGTACAATGATAAAAGGCTCGATTTTAGAAATTTTCCAACTCAATGTATCTCGCAATTTTTTTGAAATGCATAATTTATACATAATTTGGCTTTATGCTTTCCAATTTATTACATGCGGTATCGAAGAGACAATTTATTATATATGTAGCTTGGTTGGAGGCGGAGCAATAAGCAGAATGGTCCAAGTGCAGAATAGGTCCAAGAGCAGAAAAACAGAATTGATACGGGCTAATTGATAAAAACAATTTTCAGAATCGTCAAAAACTACCAAGAAAACGAATAATTTATTCATAAATTGACTAATTTCATTAAGTTTTTTGATTACATTATTTTTAAAAAAAGTTCTCGATTAAATCACTCATATTATGAATAAAATGTTCATTGCCTTGGTGTTATTGACATTTCTGATAATTAATTTACAGATTAGCAAATAAAAGCTGATATTTTCCTGTTTTTCTGCTCTTGGACCCATTCTGCTCTTACACCAATCTGCTTATTGACTGGCCACCAGCTTGTTTATTAGTGGCTAGTGTTTGGGGTACTTAAGCACCCTTGGCTGAGTGGTTATGCGTGAGACTCAATGTTGCAAGGTTGCAGATTCGAATCCTACACGTACTTTAGTTATTACTGATTCGAGGCTTATTTCTACTTTTTCTTATTTCACTTGATAGAGCTGCTTTTTGGTCGTGCTCTCGCATGTGTTTGCAAAGCACAGCTTCGCGTCTGTGTCAAAACCTCGTGGCTGGAATTCAAAAATAATTTTCTGGTAGAAAGTTGTAGCGTTTTTTGTTAAAATTGGTAAAATTACGAGGTTGGAAAATTGCCATTTTGGGATAGTTCAAGTGATTTTTATGTCGTTTTATTAACGCGTTAGGGGGGCGTCCGGCTCAAAAATGATTTCGAATCTTAAGCGGGTTTTCAAAAAGAACTTGGAAAAATGTTCAAAGTTGTTTAATCTAAGTTTAACGTGAGTTGTGACAGTACGGAAAGGCTCAATTTGCGCTAATATTTTATGTATTTTTTGTCAGCGAAGTTTTGTGTTTGCGAAGTGTAATTTGCACGCGAGTTCACTCAAGAATCACACATTAAAATTTCACGGAAACTTTTCTACTAATTTTTCATGCAGCCACAAATTATTTCCAGCTCAGTTAAGGTTTTTAACGATAATTTCTCAAGAAGCACGCCTAGAATAACTTTTTGAGCAGATTCTACTTCCCTTTGTTTCTCAATTTAAAAAAAAACCAATAAGTTTGTTGTGTTGTCGCAACATTTAAGATCGGCGATTTTTATTAGTTTAGGTTTTTATTCGATTTTTTTGTTCGCCGCTTAAAGTTTTGTCTTCGACGCCAAATGTTTTTAATTAGTTTTCAAAATTAGTTGAGAATGATTGTCTAAAGTATTTGGGGGCAATTGGTATATAGTATGGTCAATATATACTACCAGAAGTACCTGATTGCGGACTCACATCCTCTCTAGCTATTCTTCTATACATATAATTACACTAACCATCAGCTTAGTGTATTATTACGAGCCTTCTTTTTTTCTAACGTGACGCGCAAATAAAAATGTCTTTTAAAAGTGTTTATTTTTTGGAAATTGCTGTAGCATTGGAAATTGCATAACATCTGTTCTCTGCCTTATTTGTGGTTAGAGTTTGTTACATATGTTACATATCTAAGCTTCCGTTGCTGAATGGCTGCTTTTTGTCGTGTTCTCGCTTGTGTTTGCTGACTTATAGTTACCTGACTTCTGTGTAAAAGAAAGAAGTTTGTGTGTTTTTGTGCCTGTGACCGAATCCTCATCCGATAATAATTTCACGACCGTCAAATTTTGCATGTATTTTGAAGTAATTACAAGGAGCGCTATGGAATATTTGGTTTTCAAATTCCGCCCAACTTCTCGGAAAAACGGGGGTTGAAATTGTGTTACCTGACTTCTACGTTTCTTTTGCAGTCCATTTCTACTAGTTGTTTGAAATTGAACTGTTCATTTTTTTCAATTAGGGCCCCTTTATAATCAATGTTACTGAAAATGTCTGAAAAGTGTATTCTCCAGTTTTTAGCTCAACAATTTGAAATTGAAATACATTTTTCACTTCAAATTAGCAGTACTTCCTTTCTAAACACACGTAATTATTGTTCCGATTTGCGATACAAATGTAATGGATTATTTGTGCTCGGGGTGGTTTTTTTTTCTTCAAACAAATTTCAACTTTTTAACTAGCCATTTTTAACGGAGTTTTCTATATCATTCAAAAGGTATTGTTGTCTTGGGCTTAAATTTGAAAAGACATTTCACCTGTGATCATTCTTCGTGAAGTAATGGGGCTTAAAATGCCATTTTGGCCAATTCGGGACAATTAACGCGCGATATATATCGCGCTATTAAAGCGTAAGCGGAGATTTAGTCAGTCATAGAAATCGTTCCAGATTGGTTGAAAGAAGCTTATTTACCATAATTGATTAGTTACAAGGTGCGAAATCTTTTTTTTTGTTTTTTATATGGCGTGTGGGGGGATGATTTTTATTGAAAAAAATTTTAAATTTTAGAAATTTTTTATTTTATTACATTTAATTTGTTAATGATATTTATGTTATTACTGCTCCATAAACCTTAAAAGGCAGTCGGAACATTCAGGGCTTCGCCCTGATACAAGCAGTTATGTTTTTGATTACATTTATCATCGCTTACTTGAAAATCGTGAATAGATCACATGCCAATATACAATTAATACTATGCAACAGTAGTAAAATTCTTACTTTATTTCCCATGCTCAAAAATTTTATAAGGAAAGTAAAATTAAAAATGTACTTTGATTTACGAGTTCAGTGCTGGGTCACAAAAGGCTATACAGCTAGTTTTTTGTAGTCGCAATTTTCTGTATTGAGTATCAGTATATGTATTATGTATACGGCTTAAATTTTTTAGGGTAATTTTTACCATGTGTTTTTTTCGCGTAAATGAAGCCAGGGGTTTGTCAAAAATTAATCGCTTGCAATGAAGGCGGAATGCAAGGCAATTAAACTAAATGGTTGCTAGATTTTCTACATTGCGATCTCTTCTTAGAAATTTCTAATAATTGAGAGCTTTACGGAAAAAAATGTAGCGAAATGAAAGGGTTTTGCCTTCTAATTTAGAAATTTTTGGTAGTTCTTTGACCACTTGGTTGGACGCCTGTCCCTCAGGGTTTCGACCCCCTGCCGACCCAAAGGGTCCCCTCTTTAGACTATCTGCTTCGAATACAACAATAAATACAGTATTTATCAGGTCTCAGCGACGGAGTGGTCAAAGTTGGCTGCCTAATTTTTTGACTTTGGAGTGTTCCTCAATGAATTTTTGTAGTTGAATGATCCTGTGTTGCTTCTATATCATTTGACTGTTTTTCTCATGCACCTTATTTTGAAGCAATTCTCAGAGGAATGCAAAAGTTATGAATAACGTCTGTTCAAATTGGTTTAGTTAAATCAAAAATCAAATAAATCATATTCTCCCACAGCTGAAAGTTGACTCAAAACGTGGGTGTTCAGTTACCCTATTTCAGTGACGCCTTTGCAACTGTTTATTGGCTTTGGTTTGAAGTCATGTCAGATACCTTTTTCAGTTTAAACAAAAATCCATTCATAAAACTAATTTTTATTATCATCAGCATGCAATGACTTTTTGCGTGTTTTGAAGAGTGCTTTGCCCACTTTGTACTATTACTCCTACCGCCCTGGATAGATTGCATATGATAGATGCAGTTTGTAGGTTGTTAAGTGTTTTCCTGGCTAACCTAATCGAAATGTATGTACTTAGAAAGAGAGCATGGACGAATTCGCCCAAGTAGCCTCCCGGATATCGCGCCAGATGCTGTCGGACAAAGACAACCAGTTCTCGACTGCCGAAAGCTCAGACGAACAGTAAGAATGGATTTAAATTTAAATTACTTGCTATAAAATCTGCTTTCAGTATTAATTCATATGCATTGACGGTCTTTACCAAAAGCGGTAAATGTATCGAAGTTGTCTGGAATCGAAGTTGACTAGAATCAGTTTGGCGGGGATGAAAATTGGCTGGAATAAAAATAAAAATAAAAATTTATAATTATGTATCTGAGCTAATAACAATAACAGAGCTAGTATGAACAAGCACTTCAACAGATCTGTTATCTAATTTGAATACAACCTGATAATTTGAATGCAAATAAATATCGCGACATTACCTTTGCAAGGAAACAACTTTGATAGCAAATTATTACTATGACGTCTCTTCCCTCGGGGAGAGGGCCCAGAATTGATTTTTTTTTTCGAAGATCAACGCCAAGTTTGATATTTAGATAGGATTACGAGCATCATCATCTAAAAGAATGAAAGTTAGTTGAATAGCATTAATAGCAAGGTATATAAAATTTCAAGAGTTTTTCTTTTAAAAAATGTCTTTCTATGCGACTGATGGTCTATCAACTGATTGGTCCATTTCATCCAATTAATATTTCATTTTCCGATAACCAGGCTGTCAATGTGAAAAGAAACCTCGAAACCATCAGAAAGCTATACTGTTGGTGAGCCCGCTATGTTTGTCTCCACTGATTGGCCGACCTTTGGATCGGGTGATATTGTTGTTCTTAGTTGCCCACAGGGGGCGCGTCATGCCAGCTTGGCCCGAGTTCAAGGAACATTGCTACTTCGGCCGGCCGTAGCCACGGGTCTATCGGGGTCAGTTCAGTCGGATTTGTGGGGCATTTAAAGAGGTGGAGAGTAGTATGGGGAGACGGACAGTGGGGACTGTTTGGGGGGCATTGGGGTCTATTCGATTAAGATAGGTATTTAAAATGGGGAGTAGCCGGATCTGAGCTGTGCTAACGTGCTCCTTGTTGAACGTGGAGGCAGTTTTTCAGTCGAGGAGATATCGGGTGCTCGCAGCGGGATAATTTTGATTGCATTTGTTACGTGGTTTTTGTGGATCCTTTTTACAAGAGGTTTAAAATTATTAAAAACGAAGTTGCTTCAGGCCGTGCTTTCGTTTAATGGGGTAAAATTGCTTGTCTTAGAGATTCGTTCGTCGACTTTTTCTTAAAAAGTTGACTCAAAGTTAGGTTTGATTTGTCTGCGAGGGAAGGGGAACCTATAATAGAAATGAAGGGAATGGAAGTGAAGTTACGATTTCTGGAAAAAAAAAGAAACTGAGTGGATAGAAGTTTGTGGTGCTGTTGCACGGATTATAGTTTGCATTCAATGTGAAGGTGGTCTATGGAGCTCATCTTCGTGCACCCTGTCACAACACGGAGAGGTGCGTCTTGAACGACTTGTAATTTGTTCAGGGAAGAATTGCTTGCAGCATGGAACTAAGCTGGGCAGGAGTAATCGAGTATTGGTCTGATTAGAGATTTGAACGTTACAATCAATGGTTTTTTGGATTTTCCCTAGGTCATCCCGGACAGAGCCTTCAGGATCGATATCATGCGCGCGGCTTTCATGGCGGTTTGCTTACAAAGCTCCGCAAAGTTGAGGGACGGGTCAAAAAACACAATCTTTTTGGTTTTTTTTGACGGCGAGAACGGAGGAATTCATAAAACAGTTGGTTTGGAGTTGAACGCTTTGTTGTTCCTTTCGAGAAGAAACCCACTGATCCTTTCGGAGCGGAGAACACTAAGTGTCTGTTTGTAAAAAAAACTCATGGAGCTCGTTTAAGTAATTAGTTAAAATGCCGGACACCTCTACGATATTGCTTGATTGAACAAAAGGGTGAGATTTGTAAGTTTGCGTAAGATTGAAGTTTTACTTTGGGTGGCCTTAGAGGAGCATCATGTTCGTAAAAGTTGAAAAGAGTGGGGAAAGTACTGAACCTTGAGGAACCCCTGTACGGGCAATCCCGGTTGTCGATAGCTGGTGTCTAAATAGGGTCATGGCTTGGCGCCCGCTAAGATAAATTGAGAGCCATCTGACTATCCCTTCAAGTAAGCTGGAACCGTGCAGCAGTTTGACTAAAGTACGGTGGCATACCATATCGAACGACAAGTCAAGAGTGGCTAGTACTGTTCGTTTTGGTTAAAACCATCTGTTTTGGTTAAAACCATCGTGGTTAAAACCATCTGATATAAAAAAAAATCTATTGTAGACAGGGCTGTAGTAGTTGAGTGAAACGTTCTGAATCCGTGTTGGTGGGGCTAAGTTTTCGCAGTAAATAACACCTATCATCTACCCACCTACCACACAAAACAACACCCCCTCAAGAGCCTCTCTAGGTCCAGATGGAATATTGATCCCAGTTAGGATTTCCTTAAAAGTACAAAATTTACAAACTGTGTCCTTCCACGGAGAAATCGCAAGATGCTTTTTTGTAATTCTCATATTTCAGATTGAGATTTCACCTTTCTACTTTCAAGGCTGGGTGTCTTTAGTTTTCATAGATTTTTTGTAACTTCTTAAGGGCCCTATGATGTTAAGTCTCCTGGCAAATCCAAATGGTTTCAAATGTCTTCTAAAACGATCAAAGCATTAGTGAGTGCAATTTCGATACTCTCACTAATGACCCTTTTATATGCTGTTTTTTATGACATAAACTATAAATTTTTTTGGTCTAAAATTGGTTGCAAATCATTACAACTGCAGTCTTCTAAATGCTTGTCAGTTTTCTATTGAAAATGTTTTGTAAACTGTTCTTTAAAATACAAGATTTATAAACTGTGCTCTTCCGCTGACAAAGCGGGAGTTGACTTGTGGTAAAATTTCCTGCAAATTTTATCCTCTTCATAGGTATCATCAAAGACAAGCAAGCAATTCCGTAAGTTATAAACAATGCCAAAGCTGGATTGTTTATTTAATTCAATGTCAAGTTTGTTTCGAGTAACAATGGAACGGTACTTGGGATGATCACGAAGATAAACAGAAAACACTTTTTCATAAGACGGATTAAGTTTTTATTGAAGTATTTGAAGTGGTTCTGACATTAAACAGACCTAAACAAGCGGTTAATTTGCAACAATTCTCAAAGTTTTGGATTTGGTAACATGAAACCAACCGCACCAAAGAATATAGAAAGCCAAGGGCAGTCTTGTCAAAACTTATTATGTAAAAAGGTAATTTTGAAATAAGTTTCAAAATTGAAATAAAACGGGTTTTTGTGAAAAAAATTTAATTTCTGCAGACGGAACAGAGACAGAATTGCAAAACTTCCGCGATCAATTTTCTTGTGACTGTTTTTTGTAAAGTTATGGGGGTTTGAAAGTTGCTTATTTGGCCAATTTGGGATAATTATTGCGCAATATTTTGCACTTTTGTAACACGAGTAAGCGGCGGATCAATGCGCTGCAAATGAAATTGAGTTAAGTTGTCGTAGTATTAGGATACAAGACGCTTAACACATCCCTTTGTAGTTTACATTAGCTTATGGTGCGATAAAGTGAAGAAAGAAAATAGAAACTTATATATTTTTTTCATTTATTTCGTAAATTTTTTAATCAAAAAACTTCTAAACTGGCCTTAAAGTGCCGTCGGAACATTCGGGTTTTCGCTCTGATATATGAGCAGCCTTGTTTACACTCAAAATTTTCTTGTAACACTTCTTTGCCGTCACAGCTAAAGCTTTCTAAAGTTATACCAGATACTCTCTATCCTTCTGTTTACGATTCAGTGATAAAGGAGTTTGGGTTTCTCGAAAGTTTCATTTGGTTGTTTGGTAAAAGATTATGCTAGAAATTTTTCAAAAATTTGTTTGAGATAAGCGTTTTTTTGTCGTTTTCTCATCGTTTTTCTTCCAAATAATCTTCTCGTTTTCTCCGTTTCTGACTCTTTTTCCGCTGGATGTTCAGCGACGGCCTGACAAATTTCACTTTATTCTGCCAAATTTATAAGGTTGCCGATGTCAATGTTCTTTTAGCGATAATTTGGAGGTGAAAATAATCGCTCCAGTCTGTGCAAGGGATATCTGGGTCGGTTGTATGATATTGCCACAACGTTAGATAACTCCCCGTACGTCGGTTAAAATCGCTATTGAATGCGCCATATCAAAAAAAATTTTGTACTTTCCTGTTACTTACTAATAAAACTAAGCTAAAAAGACTCAAATTATTCATTAAAATAAGTGTCATTAAGTAAATTAGTTTAACTAGAGTAGGTAGTTAAACTAAACTGAAGGTGCTTGCGATAGATAAATTGTGCTTCAATTGATAGATAAAACAGGAATATCATAGCTTTGTTTGCAAAATAAAGCTTTGAATTTCGTGAATTTAAAATTCTTATCTCTTTAAATTACAAAACCTGAAGAATGAATAGCGAAAGGAATTTTTCAATCGAAATATATTTATTTATAAAAAATTATTTAAAGCATATCATAGCACTCATTTTTTAAACCAAGTATGAATAAATGAAAAGATCACATCAAAAATTCACCTTTAAGTTAAGCTTTCAGAATAATGTTTGCATCAACAAAAATGTTTGCATGGTTAAAACAAAAAAAGACCTGCAATGAACAAGAACTCCACTGAAGTGAAACCACTGACAGGGTCAGCCATGACCTGCAAATCGATTTTAAACGTGAATGCAAACTAAGATCACGACACTCCCTCCATGGTTTTGGTTTCCTTGATTTTATTATTTCGTTCCGTATATTGGTTATGATTTTGTTTTTAGCTCAAGTACTGTCTTCACGAGTCAAGGTGCACTGCCTCCATTTAAAGAGGAGAGCAACTACTATTATACCAATCAAACTCTACCTCACGAAGAAGACATTTCACACGGGGACACCAACGACAACAGAGACACGAGGATCACTTCGGAAAAGCCGACAACAAGCGGCCACGACACTATTGAAAGTTTGCCGAGGCAAGGTTCAAATCGCAATGGCCCAGCAAACGAAAAACATGCTAAGTTCGCTCGCGGTAATGCGGGGAGAACGAACGGCGGCAGCGAAGTGAGGAATCGGTTCGCGGGGACGAATCGTCACATAACTTTAATGGAGAGCACAAGCTTCGGTGAAGGAAACTATTCAGCCAATCAAAATCGCAAGAAACGAAGTGCAAGTAGCTCACAGGACCGAAACGAGCAATCAAGCGATGATAACTAAACTAACTTGGCCAAATTAAGTAAATTAGTTTAACTAGAGTAGGTAGTTAAATTAAACTGAAGGTGCTTGCGATAGATAAATTGTGCTTCAATTGATAGATAAAACAGGAATATCATAGCTTTGTTTGCAAAATAAAGCTTTGAATTTCGTGAATTTAAAATTCTTATCTCTTTAAATTACAAAACCTGAAGAATGAATAGCGAAAGGAATTTTTCAATCGAAATATATTTATTTATAAAAAATTATTTAAAGCATATCATAGCACTCATTTTTTAAACCAAGTATGAATAAATGAAAAGATCACATCAAAAATTCACCTTTAAGTTAAGCTTTCAGAATAATGTTTGCATCAATTGGGCGTTTGCCTCTAGGTATTCTTAGCAACTTTGCTTCTAAATTTGCGGATATGTTCACATATACTTTGGAATCCGTTGTCTTAGAAGCTTGTAAATGTTAAAAACAGAGTATCGGGAATACACTTTGGATTAACTTTTTCTGATAGTCAGAGTAATGAATTTCGAATAATGAGCATGTGTGTCCACTTTATGACTGCCTACTGTTTTTTTTCTGTAGGCGTCAGTTGCACTGTTGTGTAGGGCAGTCAACTTGAAGGTCCGAACTTAGACCTGTAGAGTTGTGGTTTTTCTAAGCTCAATATTGTTGTTGTTTTGCTTTTTTCTTTTCTGACCTTTTGAAAACTACGTCTTGGCGTTTTGTTTGTGTTTGCGAAGTGCAGCTTTGTCCTTATATTTTCCTTGATATGCAAGAAATCAGCTGTAGGGACAGTTCTATGAAAGAAAAGTACTTTTTGTCAATACGTTCGTGTCTCTAAAAATTTAAGAATTGATTAACACTCTTGTTTTTGCGTTTTCATGTAACATAGAAAATGCAACTTTTGTTTTCCACAAACAAATATTTAAGATACAGGGTTTAAATTTTGACAGAATGTAGATTAAACTAACTGGAAGGGCTCAAAACCAAAGCTTGAAAAAAAATAAGGCGTAAATTAGCCAGAATATCATAACTAGTTTTAGAGGTGTTCTTGCTGTGGGAACAACCTCGCAACTAGTTTAAGGAACTTGAATATATGGGTTCAAATTAAGTCTGTGAGAAGCTGATGAATGTGATTTACTATTTGCACCGCCGAAAAAATGACAGATAATAGAACTAGCAGAGTTACTTGGTCCGGCGTAAGAAAAAAGCTAAAGTTTTATGACTAATTTCGCTTGATGATCGAATTCCCTCACCATAAAACTATACCAGCAATTATGTTGGAAAAATTACTGCTGTAATTCATGCATAAGACTCTCATTAGCAGTTGCGTTGTGTATGAATTTTGTCCGGTTTTTTGGTATAAGCTCCCAAGAATTTTAAGTGAAAATGTAGTCAAACCAACATGACCGTTTCTCGTTGCCGGACCAAGTATTTGCTAATTCTGTTATCTGGCATTTTTTGGTAGTATAACGAGTAAGTCCCTTTCATCACCTCAAAGAACTAAATTGAATCCAGTTAGTCAAATTCATTGTACTCATTGCGATGTTGTTTCCACAGCAAGAACACCTCTAAAACTAGTTGTGATATACAAGCTAATTCACGCCATCAAAAACTAATGTTTCTTAATTTTAGGCTCGATTGAGCCCTTCCAACTAGTTCCATCTACCTTTTGTCAGATTTTGAACCCTGTATCTCAAACAGCTGAGGAGAAAACGTGAAAAAAAACTCGTTCATTTGCTCGTTGTTAACAAAAAGTTCTTCTATGTCCAGTGACTGTAGCTGTGCGAGCTCATTTTCAACGCTTTCGAATAACAATTTTCAACAAATTGAATATATATAGTGCTACAAAAATGCTATGCATGGAACACAATGTCACGACAATAATTGAGGCGAAAAGTGGGAAAAATCGACAAAAAAAAAACAGAATAGATCATGTGATCTTTTGAATGCGGGTATGACTGAACAGCTCCAGTATTATAGTAGCAATCGCTAAACGAATATCAGACAATCGCCAATTATGGCCAAGAGTCTTGAACGTAAGTCTTGGTGATTTCATTTTAAGTTCACTTGATACTTAAGACAGCAAAATTGCAAATGTCACAAAAAACGTGATCATCTTTTAATTACGGAAGTGGAATATTTAAATTTCAGATTTTCAAACAGACCAAAAATTTTATCTATTGAAAATCAAAAAGTGTTAAAACCATATTTTTGACTTTGAAAGTCAGTTTTTTGTTTGCTTGCTTTAATTGACTCTTTTTCAACTGTCTGTTGGCTGTGTATTGTAATTAGGATAACGTTACGATCAATATGTAAACCATTCATTATTAATTTTTGAAATTAAACCAGCTATATCATAATATATTTTTTTCATTGCAAACTGTTAACTGCTCAAACGTCTTCAAACATTTTTTTTTGGTTTTTGAGTTATTTTACACTTTACAATCGTATGCTGGCTATCTTTTTGGTTTAATTGATTTCTTCGAACCTTCTCAAAGTTTTTGACCTCAGGTACCCTCAAACTTCTTTTTTTTGTGGGATTAGTTTTAAATTAACGTCAGCTTAGTGTATTCTCAAGAACCTTCTGTTTTTTCTAACCCAAGTTGCAAATAGTGGTGCCACTTTTGGAGCACTTTTACAGCTTTTTAATGGCATGTGCTTTGACTTTCGAATAGTAATAAGTTTACACAGTTGATGCGTTTTTATTTCATCAAATGAACCGAAACAAACTATTTGATTCAAACAACAACAAAAATAGAAATTCGATTTCAGAAATTTTCTAACTCAGTGTATCTCGCATTTTTTGAATTGCATAAATTTTGCATAAGTGGTTTTGTTTTTTGGAATTTGTTACATGCAAAAATAGTGTGGATATCTTCAGTTTATTCTATTCCAAATTTTTGTCTATGTGAATTTGGTTTTACGTTTGCTGAATGGCACTAGTGATTTATTAGCATATGTAGCTGTTTTATTCGTGACTAGTGTTTGTCGGTGGTAAAGCGTGCGTGGTTGAGTGGTTAGTGCGTGACACTCAAAATCTCTTGATTGCAGTAGATCGAAGATCGAAATCTAGACCTAGCCGTATTTTTGCTAACTCGAGGTTTTTTTCGTTTTTTTATTGCACTTTCTAGAGCTGATTTTTTGTCGTGTTCTGGCTAGTGTAAACCACCAAATACACGCTGTTTCACCAAATACACGCTGCAAACCACCGAGCTAATTTTTTTGTCGTGTTCTCGCAAGTGCAAATCACCAAATACACGCGAATTTCAAATTCCATGAAGGGTTTAGCTGATGTCTTTGAGTCTGCTCAAATTATTTCACCCCACGTATCGCACACCTTTTTCTTCAGGGAGAAGATTCAACAACCAAATGCACGCAGTTTTCCATGACCACCAAATACACGCAGTTTCTCTTGAACTCCAGAAAAGTATCAATCATAAAATGTTCCAAGAGCTTTCAGGCTACATGATTGATTTTTTTGAAACTCGAGAGTTAGAGTTTTTCAAAAAACAAATCATTTTTTTTCTGTATTTTTTGAAGTTCGTGTCACTTTTTTTCAAAAATTTTTTGTTTCAAGATAAACTTAATTAGGAAGGTTATTGGGAATCTCTGCTGGAAGTTGCCAGAAAACCCAAAATTTTCAAATCAGTTTTTCTCGACAGATGTTTTTGAAAGTTTTTCTGAAGTCTTAATCAGGGCTGAAATTGATACCAAAAATGAGATCTTTCAAAGAGCCGACCCAAATGCTCCCTCTTTGTACTATTTTGTGACATCCATTTTTGGCTGACTGACCCTAAGATTTTTTTAAAGGCGCCTAGAAGTAGTTTGTATGTATGGCAGTTCAGTTGTAACTTTCTTCGCTTCAGGTGACTCAAACAAGAAAAAACAGTCCAAAGTAGAAATTGCAGTTCTTAAAAAGTAACGAAACTTCATTGAACTGAATTTTGAAAATTTAGCGGCAGACTAAGAATTTTGCTGTAGATTTTTTAAAGAAAATTCTCGCAACTTCTTGATTTTTTTTGGTTTCTTGATTTTTTTTGAAATCAGAACAACGGCCTGTGAAGTTTTGCTTGAGGTGCCTATTAGTTGGTGGAAAAATCATGCTAATCCAGATCATTCTGAAAAACAAAATTGAATTTTTGTTAGGCGAGCAATTTTGCGCTTTTGAGCTCTACCCATTAAGAGGCCAAACTGTGCACTAGATAGGCGCTTTGGTATCTTCATGTTCCTGGATTCCAGAGACAAGTCTTTAAACATGTTGGAAATTGTTAGTGGATTCCACTTACAGCCTTTTTTGTGGATACTGCGCACAACTAAAATAAGATTTGTCGGCACATCAATTTTGTCGCGGATTTTGCAAGGATTGAATGTCGCTAGTTGTTCTGAACTCCGCAAATGTAAAACGAAATCCGCAAAAATAAGTGGATCGTAGTTTTGTTTGTTATACTGAACAAACCAGTCCTTGCGTGCTTGCGTGAACATTTAAGAGCTATAGCTACAATTTTTATCTAGCAAATGCGGAATTCCAAAGCAAAGATTTAACTAATGTTAGCGGAATCCAATAACAAATCCTAAATCAATGCTCAATTAAAAACGTGGATTTACCTCCTTAATAATTGGAATAAAGGAAACTTATTAATAATTTGGCATTATCACCCATATTTATCTCAGTTGGTTTTCATTCTTTCAGTTTTTGAGCTCGGAAAATTATTCATTCTTTCAAAATTTTAGATCGGAAATGTGTTCATTCTTTCAGTGTTTGAGATCAGACAAAAGTTTAGTCTTTCAGTACATGAAGTTTAGCTGTTGAGGTCAAATTGTTGGCAGTAAACGAGATAGAACCCACAAAAATAGATTTAGTTTAAAAAGGTAATATCAAGACGTCGCTATAACTTATAGTGAAATCCGCAAACAAAAGCTAATTCCGCCTACAATTTGCGGATTCCGCCTACAATTTACGGATTCCGCTTACAATTGGCGGCTTCCGCTTATAGTTTGCGGATTCCACTTACAGTTTGCGGAGCTGTGGAAGCCACAATAGCTCAATTTTACTACACATTTATTTTATTGTTCGCTTTCGGACTCCACAAACTGCCGAGTTCTTCGCAAATACTGGTGCTGATTTCGCAAATACTACTATTTTTAGAGCAATTTTGAGCGTTAAAGTTTTTTCGCTATTTGATTGCGGAATCCAAAACAGCGAACAAGATCAAAGAAAAGTAGCAATGTTGCGGACTGTGCGACAAATCTGATTTTTTTCCTGTTGCAGAATCCGCTTAGAATTCACAAAGAGCACAGTTTGGCTTCGTAATGCCACGTTTGAAATTTTTAATACATCATCTGTTCATATAAATACATTTATATTGGAACTTGCTAGAACTAATAGTTGGTTGTGACCTGGTAATGACTTAGTTATCTCAATGGTATATTCTTCTTTCCTCTGATGCTACTTTTGCTTGGCATTCAGTTTGAACTACTTTTTTTGGTTCTACGCGTTTTGTCAATCTAGAAGCATCAAAGTTTCACGTAACGGTATAAAAAAGCCAGAAAATTTGATTAGTCAAATCCAACTCCCAAAGACAAAAATTTTCACTAGAATAGCCGGTTGATATAAAAATGGCGCCAAATGGTTCAGTAAAGGACATTTTTGGCATTTATTAAAACACCAAAACCAATGAAAAAACAGCTTACTTATTCAGAGCTTTCGAGAAAATGTTATTAGCGTTTGATTGTTTCGTTGCGCGGGAAATGGGGACGACTCAAAATTTCCCAAAAGGATTTTTATTACCTTCCTGTTGGTATATAAATTTGTCGAGAAAACGAGTTGAAATGTTCAGTGTTTAGACTGATAACTGAGCTAAGATTCAATTATCACGAAAAACTTGGAAGCCAATCTTCAAAACTAAATTGATGGAAAATGCGTTATTTTGACTGTTTAATTCGTCGGCAATCTTCCAAGGCTTCGATAGAACCATATATGCTGCGTCGTACGATTGCAAATTTTGATGAATCTGAGCCCTCGATGCCTCAGCTAGAAATCTTCGGCTAAATGAGTCATGTGCTTAGTGAGTCACATTCCAAGTGAGTCCTACGGTGCGATCATTGAGTTGACTTTTTCTGAAATTTTTCACTGTTGTTCTCAGTTAATTGATTAGGTGCTTCAGTAAGTTTGAAGCTGACAAATATCAACTTTCTGTAGCTGGCGCCTTCTCTTTGTTATAACTCACATGCAGTGATGTGATTACAATAATGTACTTGCTTGGTACATGTATTGTTATTTTTTTGAATTATGCTCATAATTATGCTTTTCTTCTATTGGCACTGTTCAAGTGAAGTTTCTTTGTATAGTCAAAATTCTTTTTTTGATTTTTATACGGTAATGTGAAAAAAATAATGAGCCGCGCAAGTACATTCTAACATCCAACAGGAGCAATTAATTCAATCAAAAATAAACGCTATGTATCGGTTGTTGGTGCGTCACAAGTTTAGAATCCCAATTGTAGCGTTTACTTTGTTTTTTGTCTTTGCAAATTATTACAGAGTATTTATTTATATTAAAGCTAGTGTTTCACATTTTGATGATAAAGAGTCAATCAAAATAAAGTTCTCAAAAAGAGAAGATGGTGCTGCGCAGCTAGATCGGGTTGAAAATTGGACCACTCAGCACAGATACTTCCGAGATGCTTGTTATTTGCTCATGAGGCCGGATGCTCCTATCGCCCATGCGGGTCTGGTCGAGCAAACGATCCACAAACTAAAGCATACATTCAACTCAAAAGATTTTGCCAAGTACAGAATACTCAGTACAGGCGATTGTTATGAAACCTGCTAGAAAAAGATTGCCTCTTAAGTTTAGGGTGTTGAATAATGGCGTCTCGAGTTTTTGCAGGTTTTTGAAAACTTTTTGTCGACCTTTTATTAGGTCAGCTATTTCCATTTTTCGAACTCTGCTGGAATCTAAAAAGGACCCTTGTTTGCAAAAAATATTCTACAACGCAAACAATTTTTTGGACAAATAATTCACTCTTTGGACGCGCTATTAGTGGTCGAATAAAATAAATTTTAGTTGTATAATTATAGTTAAGAAACCCAGTGAAAAAACTTCGCAGTTTCACAGTTTAGATATGAGGATTTTCTCTCGTGGGAGGGGGAAAGGAGATTGAGGATTTTTGAAACATTTTGTCGATATTTTTTTTAGGTTGACCTAATTGGTTTTCTGAGTTCTCTCAAATCACTATAGAGAAGTTTTAGGTACTCTTTTGGTACTCCTTCTTAGACACTTTTTGAAAATATTTGACAAAAAATCGCGTTTTTTCGGCGAGTGCTCCTCTCAAAATCACTATATTTGGTCGCCGAAAGCAACTTTTAGAGTCGGTTGCCAAAAATGGAGATCTCAAAATAGTACCAAAGGGTCAGCAGAGACTCGAATTCCTTGAGGGGGGAGAGGGGGATTGACAGAGAGTCTTATCCCTAAACCCGCTACTGGAGTGACTTGTTTAGCAATTTGCATACCAGTATATATTCGAAAAGCATTTTTGAATGGCTTTTCGAACAAAATGGTTTCCAGGAATAACTTAATTGTAGACACGTGGGCGGATCTATAGTTTTTGCCAGAGGTGGGGGCTTATTTTCAAAAATTAGAAAGTTTCGAGCTTATTTTGATATTTTGAAAAAATCAATATACGTATGTACTGAGCTTCCCAACAACCATTAAAACAGGTCGTCGTCCACTTTTTGCGAAAGATATTTGAGACTTGATAATGTTCCTCTCATCTCAGAAGATACCAGCGAGCTCGAAAGGCACTTTCCATTGGCTTATTCCATGTTGGTTTACCACAATTTCGACCAGGTTGACCAACTATTCCGCATTATATACAGGCCACAGAACTTCTATTGTTTGCACGTTGACAAGAATGCAGACAAGATGTTTAGGAAAAAGGTAATGAGTTTTTACTTTTTGGTTTGACCATATGCTGCTAGCCAGTTTTTTTATGCCTAAATTTTTAGGTCGCTTGTTGAAAAAAAAACGCAATTTTCAGCTTCCTTTATTGGGGTAATGAACCCTTGTGAAATAGACCGATTTGAAAGGGTTATTTACGCCCGCATTACATTTCATATCTACTCTCATGGTAGACGAGCCAAATCGCAGAAACATTTCAACCAATCAAAAACCTTTAAACTGCCCAAAACTTTGAGCGAATTGTCAAAGTTCCTTTCATGCAGATTTCTCATTACTCAGTTCTGATTGGCTAGTATACCTTTCTGCTCTTTGGTCCTTCTGGCAAAAGAGATTCAACTGTTCATATGATTTCAAGGTGCATCAATTAGCCGAGTGCTTCCCTGGCACCGTCTTTGTCGCCTCCAGGTCCATAGCAATGGAATGGGGCAGTCATTCTGTTTTGATGGCAGAGCTGTCCTGCATTCATGAGTTGGTGAAGAGTGGCGAGAAGTGGAAGTATTACATCAACTTGACAGGAGAGGAGTTTCCTCTAGTTACCAATCTGGAGCTGGTACATCTTCTGAGAAGTCTGCATGGAAAGAATATAATTAATTGTAGGTAAAATCAAAAAGGTAAATAGGTAAATAAAAAAAGAAAGTTTTGTAGAAATTTTCTTCTAGTTTTAGTCGTGATCTCTAAAAGCCATCTCAGGGGCGGATTTAGTGGGGGGGGGGGTACGGACATGCTTCCACCCCCCTCAGGGATTCGACCCCCTGTCGACACAATGGGTCCCTCCTTTGAACTATTTGGAGATATCCATTTTTGGTGATGAACCCTAGAGAAAATCAGAAAATCCATATTTTGGTGAGAAAATCTTAGATCCGCCCCTGCTTAAGATCACTAGCAGATTAACGTGGAACATCTGTCAATCCTAACGGTCATTCCCTTTGGCACTATTTCAGGGAACCTAATGTTGCCGACCCAAATAATCCCCCCTGGGTACTATTTTAGGCTTACCAACACTAAAATTTTTCTAAAGGTGCCTTCGACGTCAAAACATAATAACTTTGAGGGGTGCCTACAGTGCCTTTTTATAGCCTTTTTTTTCGCATGCGGCGCAGGAAAGTTGGTCAAAATGGGTCATGTATAGTGATTTGGGAGAGCTCAGAAAATCAATGTGGCCCAACATAAAAAAGGTTGACTAAATTTTCCAAAAAATTCCGAGATCGGCCCCCTGATTTAATGAAACCATTGCTTTCAAATAGTTTTTTTTCAGAACTGATGTCTTCTTGCATCTTTATGGGGTACGAATTGAAAAAATCAGTGCTTTCAATTTTGGACTATATTAAAAAATAGTCTCCTTTAAGAAAATCTAATTTATGTAAAGTTTGTTTTTGTTTTCTGGCGGAGTTTTGATGCCAGAAAGATTTCCAGAGCACTTGCCCCGCAACCTCTCTAAATACAAGGGATCAAATCACTTCGCTATCAACTACGAAGCGGCGAACTTCATTGTGCATTCCGAAATCTCACAACAACTGAACGAATCACTCGCACCCTACAGATTACAGGAGGAATCATTTTTCCAAGTTTTGAATTTTAACCCCGAGCTCAATTTCCCGGGTGGAATGCGAGAGCGACCCGAGAGCAATCTGTACGAGCACACATATTTTCATCGGCATAAAAATTGGCCATTCAAAGACGTCAAAAAATGCCCCAGCGGAAAAATTCAGAGGAATATTTGCATGATTGGCGTTAATACTCTGCCAATTTTAGCCCAGCAACACGGAAAGTGTTTAGCGATTAACAAGTTTCCTTGGGAGTTCCAGCCGATGGCGTGGGATTGCATGATTGCATGGCATGTGGATCGAGTGAGAAAGGAACTAGAAACCAAAACTTCAGCCGTAAATTTTCATCGCTTTTTGACCAGCTCTTATGTGCAGTACGCCAGAACAGTGCCAGGTTACTAAATTGCCTTTTAGCTTCAGGTTGACTTAAGGCTAAGTGTAAGAAAATGAGTTATTTAATGAGCTGGACTGGGTTTTACTGAACTGGGTTTTTACCAGCATAATGAACTGGACTGGGTTTTTACCATCATAGCCCCCCAGCCTTGTAAACAAAACTTATAGCTACCTTGGGGCTATAAACTGTTGTGTAACACTATAATGGTAAAAATCCCGTGAACTTTAGAAGGGGTGTAACCTAAAAAAAATTTTGAATTAGTAAAACAGTAACAAATGATGTTTCTTCTACCTCTACTGACAAAATTAGCAGTTAAGTGAGCTTTCTTTTCTGTAATGGAGTTTTACAATGTACGGATTTTTATTGAGACATTTACTTTGAGTTTATGAAATCTCAAGTCTATCAATTGAAAACTAAGTTTTATCCAGATTGTGGGCAACTTAAATTAATTCATGTTTCTGAATAAAAAAATTTCCAATTATTTATTATTAAAATCTGGTATTTACAAAATAGTTGCCCTAGACATCTTTCGATTGGTATCAATTCAATATTTTAATGGTTTATTTTGTAGTTTAAGAACATTTATCGTTTTTGGAGAAAATGAAAATACACGCTGGTAAGTTTGCTCGAGTCGAATTATCGACAAATGTCCGCTTCTCGACCGAAAACAGATTGGTCGCCCAAAAAAATCGGTCGACATGAAACGGCCGATGCTTAAGTCAGCCAGCCTAAAATAACTAGGGTTTCAAACTAATTTAGGTTTTTCAGCCCTGAAGTTGAAACAAATAAAAAATATCAAAATATGAGATGCATTTTCACCTTTTGGTTCACTTGGGCAGAGTTTGCTACAAAACAAAAATTTCAAACTGATCCCATACCAACTTTTGAAACCTTCCCGCAGTAGGCTTTAAATAATCCATTCAGAGTATTATATAGCAGTTGTATAAAGAAAAGTTACAACCCACATTCAAATTTTGAAGCCTCCATGAAAACAGTTGTAGTGAAACTTGAGTTTTAAGTTTCTTGATTTGCAAAGGTTTGCCTAGAGCCAATATTTATTTGTTTCTTCATGCTTGAAAAGTTTCGCATTCCACGAGTAGATGTTTGATTGGTTCAAACTTTTCGTCATAGTTGGTGAACTTCGGTGTCGTTTCAATTTCGTGCAGTCATAGGGGCTGTTTGGTCCTCAAACAACCCAAAGCTATTACACTTAGAAGAGTCTCTACATTTGAATAAAGATGTACTAGGCATTTGTTATCACAGTTGGATTTTTCGGGAAAAAATGATTTAATAAATCAGTTAGGACACTTGCAGTGAAAATTATCAGTAATAAAATTTTTCAAGTCGCTAAATAATGTTTTTGTGATAAAAAATATGTAATTTTTGCATGGAAGATGATTACTAGTCAATACATTTAATGCCACTGTGCTTTTTGAAAAGTGTTCAAGTGTTTTTGTCGATGTTCCTTATAATATTGGAGAATGCACTTGTAATCAATCATACCTTTGAAATTAGACAGGAAGTACTGTTCTTCTCGGCATAGGGCGACAGAGTATCGAAGCTTTAATGTCATGATTCTAATTGTTCGTTAGGTACTTTCGAATAATATTAATAATAAATTCATTTACGAATCAAGCATATTACAGATATTCCTTATTACAAAAGCACAGTTTTGAAGCGCCGATTCGAATGGTCACCATTAGGATACAAGCCTGTTTGCAGGTGCGTGCCATATGAGAGCAATTTGGAGAATCAGAGTCTATACTTTTGTTTTTATCCCATAAACCGTTTTTTTTATGTAGATCTCAACCATAAAGACCAAGGATTTTTTTATGATTTTTTAATAAGAAACAAACTAGTTACTCGTCAAAAAAACCCAGTTTTTTACTGAAAGAACTTTGCACAGAAATCAGTATCAAGTAGATATGAGTCTCTTAGTTTATGGACAAAACTAAATGATTTAGTTGCTGAGCATTGCAATATCTTTATAAAATTTTATAGTCTAGTTTGACAATAATTTTGAAAAGACGTCTAACTCGTTCGCTTTTTTTGAATGAATCTGTTCATTACAGATTGCGTTTTTATGTTCTAATCTGTGAGTCACTTAGAAAAAGCTTTTTTTATTGGTTTTGATAATATGAAATTATTCCAATCTTTATTTGTATGTTCTTTTCTTATGACTTTTTTTTAGTACTTTTAGGACTTCGTATGTATGTAGCTCATAGATTGAGTAAAATTTTTGTTTTTGTCTCGTCGATTTTATTTCGTTGTTTGTGTTTCCTGGCGATTAGTCTCATAAAATTTTTTGGTGTTTCAGTAGTTTATCTAGATCTATTTTGAGGTGCAGCCTTAAATCAGTTTTCCAAATAGATGAATAGGTTGTATTTAACATTTATAGAATCTCATTAGTTGCTTAACCAATAACATGTTTCTAGCTTGGAAGAGAAACGAAATGAATTTTGCGCATCTATTTTTCGCATTTCGGATATGTTGAGTGAAAATTAAGCTGCAATCATTTTGAAATTCTAGAAATCTGACATCCGTCTTTGTTTTTAGGACATTGTCTCGAAACTTTATCGATTGTTTTAATTTTTTGAGCTGATAACAATAATTTCGGTTTTGTCTTGGTTCATCGTAAGTTAATTTGCTGCCATCCATGTTTCTATATTGCTCAAATCTAGATCATAGTTTTCTTCCGAAACTTCGCCCTAAATAATAGAGCCACCAGAAAAACAACACGCTGTTAATTTCTGGAATCTCGGGGAGACCATTGAAGTGAAGTAGAATCAGAAGTGGACCCAAAACTGATCCCTGAGGGACCCCGCAATTTGTGGAATGTTAAGTATTCGCTGTTAATTTACGTGAACAAATCGCCAGATTAATTGTTCTGATTAAAACATTTGAGCGTCCATAGCAATCATGGCTTTTTTGTTTTGCAATCGTCCAATGGTTTTTAAAAAATAATTGTTCTATCATTTTATATAAGTAACATGTATTCGCTACTGTTCTAACACTTCAAAACTGCCCTCCGTTTTTAAAGATTCAGCTAGATTCGGTCCAAGAAGTTTATTTAAAGCCTCAGCTGATATATTACTTGAATATTTTTTGCATTTTTAATCTCCGTCTTTTCTTACTGTTGGCTTCACGCTGTTGATGAGCCCGAAAATCTGTTGTTTATTTTTGTTTCTTATAGTATTTACTAAGCGAGTCTCTTACCATTGATTTAACTTTGTTACGCTGTCTTTGATACAAGTGTTTTGTGGCTTCTGTAAAATTTTGAAAAAAAAATCGTTTATTTGTGCTTTGTTGTGCTTTTACGTTTGGTTCCATTTGTTAGTAGAATAAAAACCTCGTTGAGGAGTATATATTAAAACTTTTGTGCAATGACTCTACTGTTGTTTTTTATTTCCAATTCAAAAAAATTTGAAACATTTTATCAAAAAATTGACTTAAGTCATTGATTTCAACCTAATTTTTTCCATGACCTGCCGAAACTACGAACTTTTTTTTGTTTCCTTCTCCAAAAACAACGCTTTTCAAGAATAGACAGTTGTGATAAGTGATAGATGTCTGTTCTTTTTTTGAAACGTCGGCTTCAAAAAGATATAGAATATATATCGATCGTGCTCTCTGAGTGTTCTGTCTGTCTAGTGGCATTCAGCAATGATTCGAGGGTCAGGTCGAACAATTTGAGACTTTCTATTAGGCTTTCAGACTGATCATTTTTCTTTTTAATGTTAATATTGTAGTCTCCGCACAACAAGTGCTTAGCGTTAGTGGGTAGTTTAAACTCAAGTATGTGATGTATCAGCGTCTCAAGGGAGAATTCAAGATGTTGTTGTGGTGATTTTTTCAGAATTTCATGTCAATTTTGACTTTTCTATTTTATCTCGAAGTGTTAGTAGTTGATGTTCGTCTGTCCAAGTTTTCAACAGCTATTGCTCCACATCTTCCGTTGGTTTAATTGCTTGTGTATAACTTACGACAATCAGGTAACTTAAAAAAGTTTAGGTTCGAAGATTAATTTCAACACGTTTCCGTTAATGGCAATGCCATCGGTCTGTCTCCAAGATTGCTCCCATCGCAGTTCTCTGAAGTTGCAATTCAGAGGACGCCTTTTTTGCATCATAATGTGGTTTTGTTTCATTTTTTGCTCAAACACGTCTCGCTCGCTGTTCGTGCAAACTTTCAATTCGAAAAAACTATAGTGATTTGTATCTGTGGTTTGTAGATCTTCATCTAGTTGATTGAAATAATTTTTTCTGAAAGTAATCAGCGAAAAAGGCTTCCCACATTCATTTTTTTAAACACTCGCACTTGAGTGTTTGTTAGATTTGATACTCGATACTGTCTTACCGCGAGGGTTGCTTTCGATTTAGTAGGACTAATTCAAAGACATCGTTTTTCATTGTGTGGGATTCCTTTGGTTGTATTCAGCGAAAAGCATTTCCTGCATTTTAATCTTTAATTTCATAAGAATTAATTTACATATGCCGCACCACTTCGAATAATTACTAATACAATGATCATCTTAGCGGAAATCGCTTCAGATGAACAAGTTTAGTTTTTTTATTGTTGCATTCAGCGGAAATCGCTTCGTGCATCGCACACGTTTGTACTGTTTTATGCTCTTTGTTTTTCTTTTTCAACTTAATTAATTCTAATGATTTTCTTATTCACTTCAGAGAAAACGTATCGTGCTTTCTGTTTTTCGCCCATTTTTTTTTTCAATTAACTTCCGTTGAAAACACAATCAGCGGAAATGACTTCTTGTGAGATGTATATATCGTGATACCAGATTTACTCAGACCTAAGAAGTTTATTTTTTAAAATTTTATCTATATTCAAAAAAAAAACAGAAAAGGCGAGCAAAATAAACTAAAGACTAGCCTATAAACCATGGGTATTCAAAAACTAATTGAGTAAAAGTTTATTGCATTTAATTGGGTAAAACCTTGGTTTTTAAAGTTCAACTTATGCGATAAATGGTTTTAGAGAAT